GCTTTCTTCCCTACAAAGCGCCCATTTGATTTCAAACAGACCTTTTCCCAGTTCGGTACTTTTTTTTTTGTTCTTTAATTAAAAAAAAATAATACTTTAGTTTTGTGTTCAACGTTCTGCTTTTTTTTTATTTGCTTTAGCGAGCACATAATGTTCTAAAATCCTTACCGCATTCCTCTCATATTTTTCGAGTTGCTCTGTTAAACAGTTCAACAAGAATCCCGAGTGCCACGTCTCCTACTTAATAAAGTTATGCAAGCAAATATCACTCCTTTTGAAAAACCACAAAATTGATTGATATTGGTATCGTGTGAAACAAAATCAACCTTTTATTATTATTATTTTATTTTCAAATCACGATCCCTATCCAAACTTTTTATTTTATTTTTATTTTTCACAGTTTGCATTATCCCTTACTTTTTGTATCATCTAATCTCCTCTCCTCTCCTCTCCTCTCCTCTCAGCTAAGAGACAATCCTTTTTTTCATTGTCTTTTAAATTGTAATATAGCCATTTATACATAAATATACATATTTCTTTATTTTATTATATTTTTTTTTACCTTTTTTTTTAATTAAAAAAAAAACCCCCTCCTCAACACATATTTCAAACTTGCTGACTGTTTGTCAGTATGGCGTTTTAAAAAAAAAAAGGAATCCATTATACAAAAAGATGACCTTACTTTTATTCAACAACACAGATTTCTCATCATCCATCACGTTAACAACGTATTTGGACTCTAGATTTCCTTTTGATCAGATCGAGTACTATACATCAGCTAAAGATACAACAACACACGCTTCTTGCTATCTGTTTCATATCTCTGTACCACGTCGAAGACGCAAGTCTGTCGAGAAATATTTGGATAAAAAATATCTATCTTGAGTTTAATCCTACTTCCACTCTGTAATTATCTCTTCCGTATTCTCATCCTTCTCGTCTGCACAAAAATTTATTATATATATAAAAAAAAAAAAAAAAAGCTATTAATACTCAAGCCGGTTCTTGAAGCAAAAAATACTTCAAAATACCAAA